TCAGAACCAAGTCAGAGTTGTTAGTAAGTCTCATACCAAATGCAGGCTTCTCTACCTGGCTTTTAGGGGAAAAAAATGGAATGTAACAAGTGTGACCATCACTATAATGTAAATAAAATAAGCAACGGTATTTACTTTTTGTTCTCCTTAATTCATCAAATACTTACTGATCACTTATGACCATAATGAGTAACTGGTATACTATGATTTTTGTTCTGTAGGTTATGGGAAAGTTTAAAGAATTTATAATTCAGTCAAGGAGGAAATACATGTATGTACTTGGTTTACCACAGTTGGGATATCACATATTGTGTTTTTTTATTTTACTTTTTTAAGGATTTACTTATGTGTATAAGAACTGGGGTACAGACCAGAGGTGTGTGTGTGTGGGGTGAGAGGATTCACCAGAGACAAAGGGGAATAAAACAGTCAGGTTGACTGAAATACACTGCTGAGGGGAGCGGAGGCCTGCTGCACCATGTGGGTAGCTCCCTGGGAATTGAACTTGTGCTGCAGTGGCTGCGGAGAGCCTCATAGGTTGCATCTTAACCCCTTGTGCCACCAGGGAGGCCCCTCATATTCTAAGTATTTAAATCTGTAAACTTCTTCCATGAAGGAGAAGGCTCCTTTGAGGGTGCCCACCAAAAAAAAAAAAAAAAAAAAAAGACTCTACAGAGGATAGTAATTTGAGATGGCACTTCTTGGGTAGATAGGATTGTGTTTTATCTTGTGTGTGCAGAGTGTGTTAAAAACTGTGTGCAGAAGCATGTCTATTTTTGTCCTAAGTTGGTAAGATATGAAATGTCTTATCAACAATAGACACTTGCTCTTTGGATAACTTGTATACTAACAGACACTGACCCACTTGCCACCAGAGAAAATAACGTTCTCACAAAAGAACAATACCATATGCAAAGAGGTTATTTCCATGTTCTTTTGGATGAAAAAAAAAGTGTATCAACACTTTTCCCTGGAGAAAAATAATTTCTGCTTTAGTGGAGAAAATAGAATATCACCCTGGCTTAAATTCCGTATCAGAAAACATGAGTTTGTTTTCATCTTGAAGTTGGGACTCTCTAGTAACATAGTCATTTTCTATAATATCATTTGGCCATCAATTATTCTTTTAAGTTCATGTCTCTGCCCTCATTTGCAATTGTTTTTACATTTTTTAATTACTAACGTTTAATAGCAACCACCCATTAAAACTGCTGTAGTGCCTAAGTATATTATAAATTTATCTGACATCTTATTGCTTCTGGATTATACACTGGAAAATAATTACAATTCTTGTTCTTGTTGTAATGTTATTATTATGATGATTTAGTGTTTCCTCAGTATATGTAATTTGGTTCTTTTCTTCATTTATATGTTTCTTAGCAGATCACAGGAATTTTCTGGCCACGCCCAGAAATCTGACTGATTTTTTATCTATCTTAATGAAAGTAATTATGGTTCCTTAGTTTACCAGTATCTGATTCTGGCCCTAAGTGAATTAGTTTCCTCCAGAATCTTGGAAGAAACATATAAGCAATGGTGTATTAATTTCTTAATTTTTAAACTTATATTTCAGTAGGTACTGCCTAAGGTAGTTCTTGTCTTACATAGTTGGCATTATTTTAGGGAATTACGGGTCTTTTATTTTTCAAACCCTGAATTTTGAATTCTATGTTGTTCACTTCAAATTCGTCTGCAACACTTTTTGTATATGTGGGGATGAAGAAAATGCTTCTCCAATCAGCCAAACAGCCAGCATGTTCACTGCATCGTTGATTACCACTGATAGTTTTATACAGTTATTAATTAAATGATATGATCTGACCTTTTATAAGCAATGCTTTGTATCACCTATAGTTTTTAATCACCATAAAAAATTTAAATGTTAATGAAAAAGAAGCAAATAACGTCCTAGAGCAAGTGATTCTCCATTATAAACCATGGGCTGGCACTTAGAGGATAAATGAAGCCATAAAGTTAGGTTTTGCAGTTGGAAGATGGGGGCAGGTAATTTGTGGGTATAGGGGTGGTTTCTAAAGTTTCATAAGATGGGTAGCTCTAAGTGGCATTTTTCCCCATCATTTTTACATCAAAAAAAAAGACATGCAGGTTGATATTATGTAGCTAACTGAAAATGAGTGGCACAACAAAACACAAACAGCATTTGTCTTCATGAAAGAAGGACTCTTGAAAATGATATGAGAAGAAAAAGATATAATGGGCTTAGCCTGTGGGGTTTCTAGCATTTTTTTTCAAGTTTTATAGATTTGCTACTATTTCACATGAAAATAGAATTTTGGGAGTACAACTTCGCACTTCCACATGTTGAGATGATGTTAAAAAATAGAGAAAGCAAAGAGAACAGGTTGCTGTACTTTGTTTATTTCATTCAGAACATAAAGTCTGATTAGGAGAACTTGGTTTTTCCCTATGAAATAATTAGTAAGATTCTCCAGTTGATGAGCTGAGAGGAGAGGCAGAGAGAAATGCTTTAGTCTTTTACAATGTGTTAGACATTTGTCACTTTTAACTGTCTAGCACCTAACTTGTCCCTAATCACTCTTTCCTCATAGTCCCTTTCTTTCTTTCTTTCTCCAACAGAAAGAAGCAGACTCCAGTAATTTTCCTGGGTTAAGACTTCACACTATTAGGAATTCCCTTAAAAGGAAGAAGAAATTACTTAAAAAGTTTTCCACTCCAAATTTTTTTGGTTCCTTTGAAACAGTGATTTAAATGAATAGTGAAGGACTTGACTGGAAATAGGTAGCATTATGTATCCATGCATTGAGTGGAGAAAAGTTAGAAAGGTGAGAGACAGAATGTATAATTGATAGTGAAAAGTTGCTAAGAAGTTAGTTGGGGAGCTATTCAGAGCCAGATGAAGGGATGGTTCTACCAGTTCATTAATTCAACTTTGTGCAGTAGTTGTCTTAATCTGGTTCTGTAACTTTTCCTCTTTAACCTAAAAGAATAGTTAGCATATTACACTTTAATTCAAATTCATATCATAATGAGAAAAAAAATTAATTTTTGTACTAGATTCTTTGTGTCAAGTGGATAGATTCCAAAGAGCATCGAACCATATAGAAAGGGGGATGGTGGTTGATATGCAAAATCTGGCGTGGCATTTGCTCCCCCATTTTTTTGGAGAGGAAAAAATTATAAGTTGTAAACCACTGGCCACACTCAATTTATTATGGACTAATCAAGGTCCCAGACATTATGCTTAGAACTGTGATGGATAAAGAGATAATAGAAAGCATGATCCAATGACCAGTTTACAGTCTAATTGTGACAGTATCTGGGTCTGGAAAAATAACTATACTGCAAGATTATTTTTGGCAAAATGTGAAAGGAGCAAGTCATGAACAAATGATATAAGTATTTAGAAGAGGTAGAGCTCATTTTCATGTGTAATGGTCAGAACAATCTTTTTGAAGGTGGTTAGGTTGGGGGGTGGGTGGTATCATAGAAAAACCATATCTGGACAGCAGTTAAGGCACTGAAACTATATTTTATTCAGGACAGTTGCAAGAGGGAAAAAAGAGACATGAGCATAGGACCAGGTTTAGTTCTGAATATAACATGAGCAAGTGGGAATTATAGCTAAGCAGCAGGGTGGGGCAGGTAAGTAGGTAGAAAATTACTCAGAGGAATCATCAGGATTCTTGCTGAAGACAGGCCAGGGTGCTCAGACATCACCTGAGGCATGGTGAAGGAGGACAAACTTGATCAAATACTGAGGGTGATTAACTGTTGGGAAAAATATTCTGATTAAACTGAATTAGCAGGTTTCGTACTGAAGCCCCATTTTACAAATTAGTGCACAGATGGGTGTTGGAGAGGGTTCCAGGAGCCCCACTAAATTTTGATCAAAGAATTTTTGCCAATGGAACAAAGAGGGAGGAACAGACTTGAGTGGTTGGCACTGGTTGTGGGTACTTTACATCTATCCAATGTAAAGTATACCTAGTGCACATTATAAATCTTATAACAATTCTGGATGCAAACTCTATTATTTTCATTTTCTAATAAGAAAATGTGGGTTCAGAAAGTATAAATATGTGACTTATTAATAGTCAAAGCCAGAGTTTTAAAATCCATGGCTCCTTCCAGCACCAGCTTGCCTTTATGACATTCTGTGACATGACCTGGGAGCAAGAAGGTAAACATTTTGCACCCAGGTGGAAATCAGATCATTTTGGTGAGGATGCAGAATCATTTAGGGAAAATTACCTGGCAAGTTTGGAAAGGTGGGCTGGGCCTGGTTTTTGGGGCCCAGAGCAGAGATGTATCTTGCCTAAAGTATGAGCCACTAAGAAATTCCAGGTGGTGGGGTTGGGTCAGCCAAACTGTCTTTGATAGAGAGCTATCAAAGAAGGGATTGGGGTCAGAATGGGGGGTTGCAATTGTATGGGGAATATAAAAATAAAATTTATTATAAAAAAAAATAAAGATGTTACTGAGGTTAAAAAAAAAACAAAAAACAAAGAAATGGCTTTGGAGACATGGTGTCGGGGTAAAATCAACACATGGCAAAAAGCCTTATTTTACTGGTAGCACTTTCAGTGTGATTACTTTTAGTCTAGACCTGCACCTGAAAATCAATTATTAACATAGTCAGCCTTTATTAAATCATCACTATATCAGTCAATATAGAAAAGCATAGGCTTCCTTTGCAAAAACAACTTTTTAGTTTTCATTGTTTTGTTTTGTTTCATTCATCCTAGATGCATTCGTGAAGTGGTGTGATATGACCCAGGGCTCCCATCTGTTTAATTTTGCTAATTCGCTCTATTTTCAAATAAGTTTCCTTTGCTGCAGGAGCAGCAGCAGAGCTTGAATACTGCTCAGATGGATTTCAGTCACACCTCTAGTGCCATCTCAGGACCCCCTCCTCTTCCCATTATTTTCCTATCATCTTTTTGCCATTTGGGAACACAATCACGTTGTTTGCAATTGAAATATAGTTTTTAAATGTGCCTCCTACTGTGTTTTTATAGCAAGAGAGCCACTTCTCTTGGAAAATAAAACACCACTGATTGAACCAAGAGCCCTTCGAAAGGGCTTTAATTACTGCATTAATTGCAAACTTCAGGACAAATGGGAGCCCAATAGTAGCAAACTATTGGCAAATTCCTGGGTTACTTAAAGAAAACATGAAAGCCTTCTGGTGAATGTAAGAGGTTAGAACTGAGATAAGGTGGGCCATTGGGAGACCCTACCATCCTTTAGGCTGTGGACTTTACATGTAAAAAATTTCTTTTCCTCCCTTACTTGTTTCCTGAGATGTCTCATGATTCATTGCTCCAAGGACTCAGCACTTTTTACAATACCCTGTGGATCAGAGGAAAGCAAGGAGGCAGTCTGAATTTTGTAGAATACAACTTCTCTGAAAAAATAGATGACTTGGGAAAAAGGTAACACTTCTTTAATATGGCAACCTTTGAAACACTCACTTTTTATTCTCAAGGAAAAAAAAAAAGAAAAGCAAGTAGTTTTCTTCTCTGATAGAACTAGTGAAGTGTTAATCTAGTTTCTTTGGTGGTTGTTTTTGGATAAATTACCACAGAGTGAGTACAATTTAGGGAACTACTGAAAGACTCCCTCAGTCAGTTTTGGTGACACTTCACTTGTTTTTTTTTCCCCCAGAGGTGATAATTAATTAAATACTGAGGTGACTAGACGGAATTGAATTCCATATCTCAGTGATGCTTTGAGAATTCTTTTCTGCTAATCTGCTTTTAATGGGAGATTACCATGTGTGTCATTTCTGATAGGAATAGGTTTTAGATTCTAAAAATTAACCAGTAGGCACATGGTTTTTAATTTATAATATTGTAGCTCTTATGTGTCAAACACTGCTCTAAAACTTCAAACATATTAACTCATTTTATCTTCACAATAACCTTATAACATTTGGTGCTGTCATTAAACCTTTATGGCAGGTGAGGAAACTGAAGCTTAGAGAGTCCTTGGTGGAGAGAGGGTGTAGGTTGAGTCCAATGTCTAATGAACCTGGCCTAGTACTTGAGAAGACATCTCATTTAATATCATCTTTACTACTTATTGACCGTTGGTGATTGTTATTCTATCTTCCAAAAGACTAACAAACAAATATTTATTGAGCAGTGTTTTGGGAATAAGATTAGGCATTGCAACATGAGAAAAGACCCCATTCCTAAATTTGAGGAGCTACCAATCTAGTTTGGAAGATAAGCTAATAAAGTAATAGAGAGTGAAGCACCTCACTCATACTTGGGAATGTTCATACGTCACTTCATTATTTTAACAAAGTATAATGTTAGTATATGCTGCTGTTTTGGAGGGGTGTTGGGTTCAGACAACAAGGTCCTAGAGTTACCTCTGAGAAGAGTTTCACCAGAGTACCCCTTTTAGCGGCACTTGGTGATTTATCCAGGAGATGAAGATATTTGTACAGACACAGGCAGGCAAAGGTTACTTTTTTTTAAAGATTTATTTATTTATTTATTTTATTGTTTATTGATTTATTTATTTATTTGTTTGTTTGTTTATTTATTTATACAAGCACTGGGTACAGTCAGAAGCTCGGGAGGGCGAGAGGATTCACCAGAGCCAGAGCGGGGAACAGAACAGGCAGGCTGACGAAATACACTGCTGAGGGGAGCAGCGGGTGGCAGGAGAGGTCTGCACGCCATGTGGGACCCTCATCCTGCAGCCAGGGATCGAACCGGCGCTGCAGAAGCTGCGGGCAGCTTTGCAACCCAGCGCTCAACTGCTGAGCCACTGGGGAGGCCCAGCAAAGGTTACATTTTATTTTATTTTTTTTTTAAATATTAAATTTTATTTTTATATTCCCCCATACAATTGCAAATGCCCCATTCTGACCCCAATCCTTCCCCTCCCGCCCCCCACCCCCAAAAAGTGTCTCTGGTTCATAGTTTTTTGTTGATTTTGATTTTCACTTTCTTATATTCATTTTCCTGGAAAGGGCCGATTTATTAGGAAAAGGAGAAAGAAAAAAGAGGCACCTGCACAGTCACAGGCAGGCAGGAGGGCTGCATCTTTCCAGTGCAGAAATTCTACTGATAGAGTGTTGTTCTCTTTGGGAGGGGTTCATTCCTTTGTGGAATTGTTATTTATTGTTAAATTAATTACTTCTAGAGTATGAGTAGGTTGACTTGTAAGGATTGGGAATTGTCTACAATGGCCCTCCATCTCTACATCCCCACCTCTGGTCTATTACTCAGGATACTATCTATAGCACTCTGATACTTGCTATATCATTGGGGCCTAAGGATTTCTCATTTCTATAGCTGGTTTAACAACTATGTTAATCATTTCTACCCCCCAACTCCATACCTGTTCCTCTTCAGTCCCCCTTTGAAACCATTAGAAAGAAGTTTCAAAATGCAGAAGCCTTGTTGGTAGCTTATTACATTGTTGAACCAGTCTCTTAATCTGGAGGATGGGTCAATTCACTTAAAAAGTTTTCTTGCATTTCAGGAAGTCTTGCATCTAGGTGCCCAAGGTTAGGCCTATATCGTGCTAGAAATCAGATATTTAATGAGAGATTTCTATGTAAACAAAAGAAAAACAAAGGTTAGTATGTGGAGTGTACTATAAGCCCTGCCTGAATCTTGAGATTTCTAGATGTTAAAGCTTGAAGTGTCTTGCAGTATGATTATCTCTGATGATGTCACCAGGTATTCCAGTGAACTTCCTGAGTGGCCCACACAGCAACAGGTTGGAGAGGTTTTCCATAGATTAGCTGTTGTGATTGCTCTGAAGTTGATATCAAATCATTCAGTTTCAGTTTGTAGGCTTCAGAAGTTTTTGTTCTTAGTGATTTCAATTCAGAGGGGTGAGAGAATATTGGAAATGTCAGTTTGGAAAACTGAAACCAAATATTGGAGGAAACTGGATAAGTCAGTGTCCAGTCCCATTTATAAGTAAATCAGTAAAAGACAATGAATACCAGAATCTTATATCTACAAAGGAGCAAATATAATTTTACTCTACAGTCACTCCTATTTCTGAAAATAATCACAGTAGAATTAAGTAGTTTGCAAATAGGATCTAGTTGCAGTCAATTTGACCTGATTATTTACATAATCAAAAATCATAATGCCCTCCCCCCAAAAATAGCTATCAACCATATAGTCTCTTTTAAATCTTATTTGCTGGAATTTTCATAAGAAATCTCAGATTGTACATTTGGAAAGCCTCTCACAGTCAGGAAGCCAACCAATGACTAAATTTACCTGGAATATTTTTATGTTTGGGTGATTTTTTGTCTTTCTTGAGGTCCCTAAAGTATCCTGAGGTTCCTGACTTGCCAGGGAGTGACTGTCCTTACTTACCTAGCAGGCTTCTGGGAACCCTGCAAACAAGGCACCAGGTTGTTTTTCCAAATTTTTTATTAGCTACTTAAAGTCAAATTAGTTCCTTAAAGTTGTCTGGTCATATCTGACTCTTGTATACATCATTCTCAAATATTAGATTCCTGTGAAAGTCTAGGAAACAAAACCAAAACCAATGTTTCCAATTGTGTCTGTTACAAGGAAACAAGAATCTTGAGTTTAATCAGGATGTATATTGCCGGGAAAGTAAGAACATTTAGTATTTAAGAGTTTCTTCATTCTGGAGGGATCAGGTAGGAAGAAAAATGTTTCAATTCTATTTACAGAGGTATAGTTTACCAAATTGCTGTTATGTTATAGATAATTTAAGAGAAAAGATTTCCTTAAATCTCCGAAAACAAAACATTAACTGAGCAAAATGTCAGAAAAATTATAATCATCCTTATTGGTTCTTTCGCTTCCATATGATTTTTGCTTTGCTTGAATCTAGTTTTTCCATTAGTTCTGGAAATTCTTACCTAATTGTAATCTTTTTAAAAACATTTCCAAGTGCCCTTTCCAAGGGGATTATGAGAATTTACTAGATTACATTTTGTACCCCATAGTGTTTGAAATTCAATTACACTGGCAAGAATTCTCAAGAATATTTTTGTTAAAGAGCATAAGCCCTTTTTTGCATTTTGTTTTTTTTTTCATTTTTCTCAATTTTTAAACTTCTTTTTATATATACTCTTAAAAATCAGCAGAAACCTGTATTTTAGAGTACTAGTCAGAATTCTTTTCACGAATCTCTCTAAAGATGAATATTTGTAAAAGTATCAGAGTAAAACAGTAACAGTAAAAGACAAAGACTTAAAAAGGGCCTTGACTAAAAGCCTAATGAGAGTTAACCAAAAAGCAATTAAAAAGGAAATTTAGTTATCTCTGTGACATAAAACATTTTAAGATAACTCAAAATTATATTTGGACATATCAGAGTTCAAGGAATTTAATATAATTTCTGGAACACTTATATTAATAGAAGTTTTAACATTACCTCTTACTTGACAGTACCCCTTATATACTGTAACAAATCAAATAAGCTTAATTAGTTTAACAGTGCTGCGTTCATAGAAGAGAGAATTTTGAGATGTTCCAGGCACCATCTGGAACATCCTAAAGATAGTTCAGTGTTCAAGGTCAAAGAAATTTCATCTAGAATTTGATCTTAGGACGTTTGTCAAAAATGTTAAAAAGTTTTGGACTCTTGACTAACATCACAGGTCATTATGAAACAATAATTAATAATTATACAAAGTGACAGTAAAAACATTTTGAAGGCAAATACAGAAATTTAAATACTTATGAGCAAAATGACGTTTACTGTCAAGACTTAAGTGCTTTTAAGTAATCAAAGACCTGATAAAGATGACGTGAAACACAGAAAATTATTTTGCTAAAACAAAAGTTTTGCTTTCAGCTTACTTAAGAGAAAAATCTTTCATATTGTCTTATCAAGAGCAGACCAATAGTCCAAGAAAACTTTGTTTTTAGAAGATGAAAGAAAAATATATAAACACACTATTGACTTACAGCTTACTTAAAAAAACCCTTTAAATAAATTCATTCATTTTTGGTCAACTTGGTCATACAAGGTAATTCAATCACTTCCTCCCTTTATTTTTTCTACTCATTTAGTTTGTCCTTTGTTCTTTTAGCCATTCTGAAATAATATTCAGCTTTTCATAATTAATTTCCTTTAATAAAAATGCATGTCCATACCTCATACCTTTTCTTATCTAAAAGTTAAGCTAACTTAAGAGTTGTT